GTTTTATCCCCTTTTATGAGTTTTTGGCCATTGACTATCTTTAAATGGCTGCTTCCTGTTACAACAGTCGGCTCTGGAAGGATCTTTTTCTTTTTTTCTTTTTTTTTTCCTTTCTTTTTTTGAAGCTAGTGGTTGAAGCAAATGGAGCATAAGAGCCCCCTGGTGGCTGAAGAAAAAAATCCACGTATAAGCCGCACCGGTCTATAAGCCGCATGGTTCAAAGTTCAGGAAAAAAATTTGCGGCTTATAGTCTGAAAAATACGGTAATCAAATCATGAAATTTCAAGAATTTCGAGAATTTGTGATCAATAAATGGAAGTCTGAATAATGTAACAGAAAACCAGTTGAATCTCTTCTAAAACATTTATTTCAGTCTCTGACTCCAGTCAACTCCAGCAGCACAAACAGTCAGGCCTTAGGAGCCAGAAGGCCTTGGTGCCTGATCTGAACATAAACTAATAATGAACTTTCAGGAGCAGCGTTKGTCCCAGGCTGAATCGAAGGAGAGACTGCTCCCAAGAACTAACAAGAATCCTCTGCCCAATAAAAAAAGATGATTCAACCTTTACCACGTCTTTTCCTGGTCACACCCCTGAAGGTGTTACCTTTTATGTCAGACGTTAGAACATAACCAGCTTTGTTATGCAGACAGAAAGGACACATGGCAAGGCTCACCAACTCTCATTCTCTGTTTTAAACCTTATGGCTGCAATGATCAGAATGTGTAAAAATACAGGACTGGATCTAACATTCAATTAGTTACTAAATTTCCTTCAAACTGATGAAATAATACATTTGTTGGATGAACATAGCACTTTCTACCAATAATTCTAATAACTATTTTACTATTATTAAAATAACTATACCTCTTTTTGTAAAATAAAAATAGTAATTGTATACAGTTACAAATTGTAATTGGGGGGGGRATATATGAATCACAAACACTCCTTCAGTGACAGACTGCTGTATCCTAAATGCACAAAGGAGCGTTACCACAGATCCTTCCTCCCAGCAGCTGTTAGACTCTATGACCATCACTGCTCCCAACAATCTCAGTAAGCGTCCATGCTTGTGTTTGCACATTAAACACCTCTATCTGTGCACCTCTCAACTCTATTGCACACCATCTGTAAATGAATGTAGCTGAATGCTAATGCATATGTATGATGCTCGCCAGAGATAGATGGACAGAAAGACGTCTCATTCCTTTAAAAAATTAATAATCAGTAATAAAACGACTATTTATAGCAATTAAATTCGTCATCAACTATTTTTATTGTCAACAATGTCGACTAATCGTTGCAGCCCTAGTTGAAGATGTGGGTGCACCTAACTTTGTGCTGGTGCAACCAGTGCAAGACATTAGTCTAGAGCCCTGTAATGTACCTTAGAGTAACATATGGAAGAGTTTTAGCAATTGTTTCTGAAAGATATGTGCAGTTGGTAGACATGCGCGCATCAGAGGGAAAACATTCACATAATTCACACAAGTAGCTGGAAGTGGCAGTCAGTCTGTGTTTCTGTTATGCTCACTGTAATGAGTTAGAATTAAAATGAAAMGCTTCAGAATAAGACACAAGACTTTGTATTCTGTAAAATAAAAAACAGTAATTTATGCAATCATTGTTGATGATAATAAAAATGTTTAAAAAGTGGCTTTAAAGGGATCCTCGATTAGTTGTAACATTCGATTTTATTTAATAAACATATTAAACACATACTTTAACTGTAAAATAAAGACTGTAAAAATACTGTAGGCTGTTTAGTTTTGTAAATTTTTAAGATATGTTTTAACACTGACGGAGCCATTTTATTTACTTGCAAAGCATTCTGGGTAAATAATGACGTGGATAGGTCCTCGGTGTAAGGTTGCTGAGCTATATCCACCCTGAAGGTTAATCTTGGACAGTATTTGAC